TACCACTGTTGACGGAGTGTTATCAAAATCAAATAGAAGATAGTTACATGCTCAGTGTCCATATTTGTTGGAAAATCGGCCATACGTTCCTGGACACAATCCCGATACAGTTCGGTTTTTCGTAATTCCAATGCTCTGTATGGCTGCGACAAATTGCTGCAGTTGTTCTTCAGATGTGTACTTCGTTTGATTTGCAGTTCCAAACATTCGCGTTGCTTCTGTTCCAATTTTTTTGCACAATGAACATAATTTTCACAAAATTCTTTGTGCTAAAATTGTTACCATGAAATTTCGTAGTTTTATTCAGTACGACTATCACAGTCGTTTAACAACAGAATTTGATATAGATAAATTCTCTTGCACAGTTAATCATTTAGTAAAGGAATTTCAACCATTGACTCCGTATTTAAATAACTGTTAAAGTTTTGGTTGTTTTGTTAGATACAGAAAGCAACTGCTTTTATTCTATCGATATTGACATATAAATAATATCGGAAAGCAGACATTAAACTATTTGTTTTTTTGTTTTATTTTCTCAATAATTACTTTTACTGACGTTTGTTTCCTCTTTTCGCAAATATATAAATTAATTGAAATTTAGTGCAGCTAATAAAAAGTTGTTTCTCAAAATTGTTGACAGCAAAAGATGGATATTTGTCTATAATAAATAATGTCTAAATAGATGTATCAATAATAATGATAATAGTTTTTAATAATGTTCAGTAAAATTGGACATTTATGGTGGTGATACAGTTGGCAACAAATGAATAATAATTGCAATACAATTGATACTACTGATATATATTGAAAAGTTGTTCTGCTAAAACTTCTGAAGGAATGGGTGAAAGGAAAACAAAGGAAATGACGCTGTGCAAGAAAAAAAAAAAAAAGAATGAGGCAAAAGTGCTATAACGATGAATGATGGCTGAGAGAAGTTTTTGGAAGCAAATTCTGTTGCTCCGAACAATGCCCATGAGATTCATTTTCCTAAGACAACTATTAACTTTATTCAATTTTATACCTTTTATTTTCAGCTATATTTCCATCCCAACAACTATTGCTGATATTAAAAGTTGCTGCTTCCTCCTCAATTTTAACAATTCTATTTGCAAAAAAAATTCCATAAAGGTTTCAGACAAAAAAAAAAAAA